CACAGCTACTCACCCTGCACCACACAAACAAGAGATCCATGAACATTTCTGAGATCAGAAAGGGGAAACCCATCATTTAGAACCTATATTTTACTGCTTTTTCATAACTTTCAAAGAGTTTTGTAGTAATTTAGAAGCATTTTACCTTTGTCAAACTTTCTAATGACTCAGTATCTGCACAGATACATTTTATTTGGCAAAACCATAGAAATAAGGCCTGGTCTTGCAGAAACTTCTAGAAATGCCTGACTTCCCACCAAAGAGAATCTAGAGTTTCTGGACAAAACAGAAAACCAAAGAACAACACGTTTATGACTCGTGTATTTTCAGATGCACCAAACACACCCAGTGCCAAACCACTTGAGCTAAAGAAGGGCTCTCAGGGACTGACAAAGTTAAAAACACTTCAAATTGTTCTCTGGCTTTAAATGAGACAACACAGAGAGCAGCTGGACACTGAGAGGGGAGAAGGCAATGGGAAGAGTGATGCAGCAGGACCTGTGGCCACAGGGAAACACAAGGCAGCCTGTTCCTCTCCCAGTGAGCTGTCCCAGAAAGCAATCTAAGCATCGGGCAACAGCAGCACACTCGGGTAGTGCCACCCCTGAGGCTCCCTCCTCAGGCACTCTGTGCAGGTCTCTCTCTCTCTTAAAAATAATCCTGTGTGATTTAAGACAAAATAATGAGAATAACTTTAGAATTATTAGTTTGTTTTGAAATTCTGTGTTTTGCCCTTCCCTCTGCTTTTAAAAACCTGTTAAAAGCTGTTAGGAGGTTTTGTGAGGAATGAGGAAACAAGATGATCAGGATCTGACTTGGCAAAACCAGAAATCTTGACTTCATGACTGTCCTTATTTGAGGAGAACGTGTGGAAACAAAGTATCTGAGAGTTAAAATGGGTCTTTTGAGTGATGTGTTAACTTGAGTTCATAGTACAAAACACTCTGAATACCTTTTTTATTTAAAAAGTCAACTAAACACAAAATCTCCCTTAAGACCACAAAAATTTGGGGCATCAGTGGAAGACAACAGTATTAAACTGTAGCAGCATATGTAAGAACTAAAAAAAAAAGACTCCCCCTTCCTACTAAAAGCCTGCACATCCCCCCTTCATTTCCCCTGCCAGCTAAACCCCCATGTTCTAACCCTGCCGTGGAGGGCCACGGGGAGCTCTGTGCTCAGCAGGGGTGCCAGGAAGGGGCAGCACAGCTGAGGAGGAGCCCATGGGGAACTCACTCACACCTCTCCAGCCCACTGGAGCCCTGTGCTGCCCCACGGAGTTTTCTTCAGTCAAGTCAGAGAGCTGGATTTCTACAAACAAAACCCTGCAGCCTTTACAAAGGCTTCCTAAAAACCAACACTGAGGAGAAGAAACTGAGTGAATTCTCAGATGTTCTTATTTTTAAAAAGACCAACAACATCTTCCAGTACTATGGGAAAATTATTGGTATGCCCTCACTTAAGGGAAGCATATAAAATATTTTTTAGAAAAACACACTGACAGATTTGTATTTTATATATTATTTGCAGTAAAAACCCATGAAAAAAACTGTTCCCTTAACAGGCTGACATGCATCAAGCTAAAAAGGGCAAAAAAAATCTTGCTAAAAATGCAATACCCCCTATCAATTTTTAAGCAATCTGGCACTCAGAAGAAATACATGAAGCTCTTTGTTAGTAAAATTACTGAGGGAATCATTAGATTAAATTCATTAAAAATCAGTAGCTGTGAGGAGTCTGAGGAAGACAGACACTCCTTAGAGGCATCAGCAGAAGATGAGCTGCTGGTGCTAACACAACAGGGCAGCACTCAGCTGTCTGTTAGCTCTCACTTCCAGCCACTTCAGGGAGAAGAGAAACACAAAAAGGCTGACAGACAAACACAGAGCAAGGGTCCAACCCTGCAGCTAACCCACAACAAGACACAATTTGTTAGCACCTTAACAAGTGTTCAGAACCTGCATGCCAAATTCTCTCTTGGCAATGACCTGGTTTATACAACAATGGTGATAACAGGAACAATGGTAATAATACAGAGCCCAGCCTCAGGACAGCTCCTCACCACTCACTGCTCTCAGATATTTAATTAAAACGAGTCTAAGTTCAACCAAATTAATTGGAAAAAAGTTATGTCCCAGGGAGCTTTTAGCATAACTCAAACTGCTAAAAAGGACTCTACGATTCTAAAGAAAAATAAAATCATTGAGTTGACATTTTAGACAGTTTGGCTTTGAAGAAATTTTCTCAGTTCACAAGAGCTGTAGAAATAGAAATTTCCTGTATACCTCCTTGCCTCCTGCTCATTTTTACTCTGACAACATACTGAATCACTGACAACATCATCTGAATGAAAAGATCAACTGTAGCACAATAAAATTACTATTCACATGATTCTTGCATGTCTTAAGGTAAGAGGAAAGAAAAACCACAGCTGAAATCTCTGCAGGAAAAACGTCCCACCTGGGAAGTGGGAATGGACTGAAGTGGAAGGACAGACACCTGAAAAGGACAAGCAGTGATGGTGAAACATGGCATGAAAGTAAAAGATATCCTTAAATGTAGCTTTAAGGTGAAACCCTGTTCAAAGTCAGTAGAATATACTATAAAAGCCAACAGGTTCATCAGAGGAGAAAAGCTTCTTCTTCCTCTACCTCTACTACAGCAAAAACAACTACACGGATGAATTCTGAGGCTGCAGGACAACTTTCTGTTTGAAGAAGGGAAATACATGTCCTCAAAGAGCCATGATCACCACCTGAGATAATCTGCTTAGCAATCATGAGTCCTTTTTTTTATTCACTTGCCTAAATCAAACAGAGGAGTGACAGGACAGTGCCAGATGTGAAAAGTGCTATTGTACAGGAAGAACAGATGACAGGGGGTGCAGTCCCTCCAGGGACAGCTTTGTCCCTGCCTTCATCTGTAACTCATTTCTCTGCCAGTTAATGTTCTAGAGAATCCCCCCCTGCTGCTTCTGCACTGTGACCCCCACAGGAGCAGCCCCTCTAACAGCAGCCCTCAGGCAGTGCACTTACAGAAAAGGGAGACACGTTTTTGCCCCCGACGAGCAGCTTCGACATCTTCCCGCCCGACTCCTCCTTGGGGATGTGCCTCAGCACGTGGCAGTCCTGCACCTGGGGGGAGACAGCCCTCAGCAGAGGCAGAGGTGTGCCCTGGGACACTGCCAGGGGTGACCACACCCAGGGAAACCCTGGGTCTGGCTGCGCTGTGACAGCACACAGCCCACAGCAGGGGAGCTCACTGGTTACCACAGACATTCTTTTCCAACCAATTAGAGGCTTAGCTGGGAATGAACTGTTAGTAGAATGCAAACTAGAATTTCATCAATGCTCTAGGAATCAAGTAGATTTTACAGTCAGCTCATTAGCTCTCTGAGCAGAGCAGAGGGGGTGGCTGATGAGGGAGCTCACCTTCAGCAGGGTGACAGGGCGCTTCTCTCCTGCCTTGGTCCACATTGGCATCATCCCCAGCTTCACCGCCACGACGCCCACCCGCACCGACCCTGCGGAGCAAAGGGGGCAGGGGGCAGCTGAGAGGGCCAGGCCCCCGGGCTGCACTCACACCAGCTCTGCTCCTCCCTGCAGGCAGGCTGGACTAACCCCTCCTTGGTTTCAGTGCCAGAAGCAGTGAGGTTGTTTGCCCCAGCTGGGTTTGACACAACAGCTCCTCACTCAGTTCAGAACAACCAATGCTTCAGACTTTTTTTTTGTTTAGGAAGTAAAACATCAGTGTGGTTCGTTTCACTACCTCCAGACTCACTACTGAAAGGTTTACTGGTAGTAGGCTCCTCCCATGCAGCCCTCTGAGTGTTTCTGCCACAGTTACTGTACAGCAGAGGTAACCTCTTGGGTTTGGCTTCTGACAGCCCATGCAGTGAAAAACTGAACAATAAATGCCTTAAAGTTCAAAAAATGCTCTTTGTTCCAGTTTCCACTGTCATACCCAAGGACCTTGTCATGGACTTGCAGACTCTGTTGTCTGCTGACAAATGGTGTGACTCTTTTGAGGACTTAACACCTTTATGTTGTGTTTTAGCCTGTAAGGCTCTGGAGATGAGGGAAGGTTCTTCAGAGAGAGGGTGGCCAGTGGCCAGGGAAGGGATCATGGCACCAAGCCTGTCAGGGCTCAGGGAGCATCTGGACGATGCTCCTGGTCATATGGTTTTGGTTTAGGTAGACCTGAGAGGAGCAGGGAGTGGGACTTGATGGTCCCCAGGGGTCCCCACAGCTGGAGATACTCTGAGTCTATGAATCACTGAACAGGAGTGGGGTGTATTACACACCACAGCTTTTCTTCAGAGTCCAGCAGTACTTACAGGAGCATTTTTAGGGTCATACATTTCATATTCTGGGAAAGTCCTTTTTGTTAATTCTTAGTTTATTACCTTGTTCCTGTACAAGATTACATTGGGGGCCTGGCCAACTGCTGATGTGGAACAAACCCCAACTTCTTACAAGGTTCTGGTAATATTTTAAATGCTTCTTAGAGAAGTAGTGTGTTACTTTTACTTACTTCCTAGGAGATGTGCTGGATGACTGAAGCAAAAGCTAAAAGGAGAATACTCTACAGGATTCTGACTGCAAGAGCAGAGCAGCCCCTGTCCTGGCAGGGGCAGGCATTCCAGAGCAGAGCCTGTCTCACCTGGTGTCCACGCGTTCAGCGGCCAGGGCTCGTCCTTCAGGGGGCACAGCTTGCTGGCTGTCTGGGCTCTGTACTCCTCGTCAGCTCTCTTCTTGAGGAACTCCAGGTTCTCTTCAGAAAGGTGCTCGTGCCACCACGTTGCACTGTTAACGTGCCTGACTACAAAGCCCAGCTGCTCCCTTTCCAGCAACAGGAAAAAGTCTGTCAGTTCCAGTAATGCCTCCCCACAGGAATGCTCGTGGTGCAGCACACCCTGCACAGCCACACCCTACACTGCAGGCAGATAACACCACACTGCCACACCACCCAGTCACCCTCAGGCAAACTGGCTGCTCCAGACCAACCACACCCATCACTGGTGTTCTCATCTCACTTGAAGCATCCTGAAGTACACCAAGGGGGGGCAGGTAGCAGCAAACCAAACCCCTACTCCCTCTGTGACAGAAGCAGCCAGAGCCATACACCACGAGCACACAGCGGGTGTCGTTCACTCCAGCTTCAGCCAGGCCTCCAGCAGAGCCCCTGAGCACCCCCTGTCCCCTGGTGCCACGGGTGGGTGGCTCTCAGGTGGGTGGCTCTCAGGTGGGTGGCTCTCAGGTGGGCAGGATGCACAGGGAACAACCCGTTCAGGGACCCTGCCTGCTTAGGGCCTGCATCAGTGGCCTGCAAGGGGGAAGGAGTGCACCCTGCTCAGGCTGGGGAATAGGAGGGAGCTGAAGGGAGCAGCTGGCAGGGCACAGGGGCACCCAGTGAGGAGCCAGGTGGAACTCACAGGGGAGGAATGCAAAGTATTCCCAGGGCAGGATAACCTCCTGCCAGGGCACAGGCCACTACCTCAGCAGAGCTGCCCCCCGGCAGGCAAAGAGCCTGAGGGTCCTGGGGGGCAGACAGGTAATAAAGGAGCCAGCAGCCTTGGCTGCAGTCAACAGACTTTCTTCAGCACTCCGAGCAGAACACACTAAATCCAGTTCCGGGTCCCCAGGATAACAAAGAGGCGAGTCCAGCAGCGGGACACAACACGCGGGGGCTGGAGCACTCGCCCTGTGGGGAGGACTGAGGTAACGGCTCGTTCAGCCTGGACAAGAGGCGGGGAAGGGAGGACCCGAGGGCAGCTTTCCAGCACCTGCGAGGAGGTTACTGACAAGGCGTGGCCAGGCCGTGTTTACCGAAGTGCACGCCAGGCGAACGAGGGAACTCGTTTGAGCTGGAAAAGGGGGTTCCGGGTTG